TTAGAATGCAGTTAGAATGCCACTATAGTTATGAGGGCAAAAATATAGTATTTGTTTTTTATATTTATAACATCTCATATAGTTAAGTAATGTCTTGGAAGCAAGAGTGCCGTTTTCCGAATATTAGCGCACAAGCATAATCGTGAATGTGATGTTGATTTTATACAGTTCAACAACCAAGAAATGAATACAAGTGAGATACATTTTGGATACAATATTGTCTGTTTTTGTTTCACCAACACAAATAGCTCCAAACAAAGCCGGAAAAGAACTGTTGCGCATCTCTGAGAGACATGTTTGGTACTTGCATTAATCTGTGTTTTTAAATGAATCACTCAGTAAGACAGAGTCGTGCTGCCACCTATTGGCCAAAACCACGGTCCCAGCACAAAAACACACTCAGCAAAATATCGCCTAATTAAGCTTATTGGAAAAAATACACCAAAATAATGTCGCAATTGAATTTTTTCCCCCCTAATGTCTGACAAAAAAAAAAAAGAAAAAAAGAAAGAATTTTTAAAACACTTTTTGTCAAGAGTGACAATTAACCTATTAATTAGCCTATAATATGTACTAGCTCAAATTCTGCATGCATGTTACATTGCATAAAAAACACAAAAATTAGGTGATATTTTGTCTGGTAAAGTATTTTCAAGACTATAGGCTACTCTTTTTATTTTTTGTGATATGGACCTAAGGGTCTGAAATAAAGAAATAATATTAATAATAATATATAGGTGTGAATTAATGAAGGTTATTATTATTATTATTTTGCAGTATTTCTGTTTCCTGTGTCTCGCTTCAGCATCAGCATCAGGTCACACTGCGCTAGTGTTGGGTAGTTCTTGAACGAACAAATCTTTAATGTCACTCGGGAAGAACGAGTCGTCTCGGGGAGTGATTCGTTCAGTCGCGCATGAGCAACATCCTACATGTTCTGTACTGGAATTAGTCAAGTAGTTCACCTGGTTCGAGTCCGGGTTTTTCGAGTCGTTCGTTCATCGCGTGACAGACCCATAAGCTTTAACCAGTGCAGTCTGAGCCGGAAAGAGACTTAATAATAATAACCAACTCTTTATTACCTTTGTTACAACATTCAGTGTTATGGAAAATAACCATAATGACAGAAATTCACACATTTTATAAACTGTAAGAAGTAAAAAGCTACAATTTAAGACCAGAAACGCATTGCGTAACTGTAAGAGTTAATAATAATAATAATAACTATGCACCTGTTTGTAAGGAAGCTTGTAAATTAACTAATTTCTCTATCCAATGCTGTCACGTCAGTGACAAAAGAACGAATGATTCGAAAGACTCGAGAGATGAACTAATCAATTCTCTTTCCGGCTCAGACTGCATTGGTTAAAGTGTATGGGGCTGTCACGTGATGAACGAACGACTCAAACCCGAAGACTTGTCAGATGTGAGGTGAGCTAATCATAGACTGAAGGTAAACAATGAATTAATCTTTTCGGTTTCTTATAGCAGTTTTGTATTGTTTGTAGTGTGATCAATGTTTAGGTAAGTAGATGTGTTAGGGAAGTAACATTTTAATGATATATTTTGCTAAAATGAACGAAATGACTCGGAAAAAGATTCGTTCATTTAGCTGAACGAGACTCAAAGGTCCGAGTCGGTAAAATGATCCGAACTTCCCATCACTACACTGCGCAGACGCAGGCGACGTCACTTCTTCAACATTATTTACCACCGTGTCTGCAATCGGCATCCTCTCTGACTGAAGGAGCTGGCGCAGGCGCAATCATCAAACATATTTCAAAGGAAGCCGGCGCCACGGTCCTGACCGCATCACGTCTTTACTGGGTGTTTTTAGTGAAGGTTTTTTTTTTTGTTTTGTTTACATGCGATTGGATTAGCTATTCATGTGGTGGACTGTCATGACTTTGCCTAATGCAGGACACTAATGAATTATGCGCATCAGAGGGGATTTAGAAGTGGGTATATGCAAAGCCGACTTATAAAGAAGTGGGTATACGCCGTATCCCTGCGTATACCCTCCACTACACCACTGCTTATACTGGAGGAAATGTTGGTGATGGTTCACTCCCGGCACCGCTAGGTGGTGCATTTCAGGCTTAGCCAAGACCATGCAGGTAATTTAGGGATCCCAAGTTCAGAAAAGTAGGCATATATATATATAAAAAAAGTGTGACACTTTTTAAATTTTTTTTTTAATTTGTCATTTTGTGTTTCAAGAATGAGATCCAAGGTTAAGAAGCTATCAGTCATTTAAATGTAAAACGTTTTTTTCTCTATTTTGCAATAGTAAGATAAATATTTGCATTCACTCTGCCATGTGTCTGTATAAGAGGCCCAGCTCCTGCTGCACAAAACATCCCCCAAACCATGACACTTCCTCCTCCACCTTTTAATGACTTCTTTACGTACTCGTGCTTCAGTCTTTCCCCAGTTTGATGGCGAACAAAATATTTCCCATCTGACCCAAATAAAATTAAACTTGCTCTCATCAGTAAAGTGAACTTTGGAACAGTTCTCCTCTCTCCACACAACATGCTCCTCAGCAAAGGTGATTCTAGAATTTTGATTCTTTCTGCTCATGAGAGGCTTCGTCACTGCAAAGTGTGCTTTCGGTCCGACTTCTCTTAAACGTGCTGAGACAGATCCTTACCCTGTTCAGCACTGAACTGGTGAGCAATTCCAGCTGGACGTGGACGACAAGCCTTTTTGGGGGACTTGAACCTACAATATTAGAGAATTCACAGATTTGGAATGACCAGCTTCTCTTGCAGTGGCTGAAAGGTTAATCCCTTTAGCTTTCATCTGGACAACCTCCTGTCGAAAGGTTTTAGTCACCTTAGAGCGGCCCGTTGTCTTGCAATCTCAGTGAAAATTAGAGGAATGCTGCCAGTTAAATAGGGGTTGTCATATAAATAAAGAAATTAGCACCAGGTGCCAGATTAGCAGATAACTATGTGTTTTCTAATTTTGATCAGTTATTTTTCAAATATCTCATATAAGCTTTTTATACTGTGCTTCAGAATACAATTAATTTATGAAATATGCTTAAAAACGGCCCTTCTACCCCTGTTATGATAACTTAAAATAGGACTAAGCAGTGACCTTGAAATTTTGGAAATTGTAGGTTAATTTTGATCTCCACTGTACAAATCTTTTGTGTTTTATCAACCTTTTTGAGAAGCTTAATAAAGCAGTTTTGTTTAAAATAGAAACCACTCAAAATCAAGTATGTTCCCTTAAAGAGGCATTTATTAATTTTTCACCAAAATTTGAAACTTGCACTCACTGGTGTCTTAACCAAAACACAGGAGAAACATTTTACAGCTGGAAGTCTGAGCAACGTTGCTTCAGTTTGTGGTACACAAACTTCCTCATTGCCACTGCATGGCGTTGTGTCAGCTGTCTGGGATTGATGGTTCTGGTTAGGGCAAGAGCATTCTGGACAGATAAATCAAAAATAATTAATGCCACATAAAAGATGTCAATTTATTTATTAAAAAGAAAAAGGGCTTTTCACATATGAAATAGTGAAACCTGGGTAATTCTAAACCCTGGGCAAAGGGAATCCTGGGTTTTCTTATTTCACATGGCACATACTTTATCCAGAGTTAACAATTCATCCTGTGTATTCATAAACTGTCCTTTCACACTGTACGTTTACAAACCCCAGATTAACATTAGTTGTGTTCGGTTTGAAGTGGCACTGTGCAGACCAATCAGTTTGTGACATCAAAGTACCGTGAGAGTGATTCGAAAGCATACAGAACCGTCTGCTCTCTACAGTTGTCATGGTACTTTGATGTCAAAAACTGACCGGTCTGTACAGCATCGCTTCAAGCCAAACACATGATTGAATGAACGCAGCACAGGACCGGTTTACATAACGGCTCTAGCATTGCACAACCTCGTATCATAGACTGCAGACCTTACCAGCCAGTTTTTCCTGAAGGGACTTTTCTTGGAATATAAAGGTAAAAATTAAATGCCCTCTTCTTAACTCCAATTCATGTGTTTTCCATCATTACTCAATATTTTTTCTGCAGAAAATACTGTTTTTCTCAGTGCAGTTTCTGTGACTGTTCAACAGATGTGAATATGCATCTACAGTAGCTGTAACATTGGAAATGTTTGGCACCGCAATGAGAGGTTAACAGCATAAAAGCAGTGCTAATGCTGATCCAGGGCAGGTTTTCATAACCCAGGTTAAAAAGTGGTGCTAACACTGCTTCTAAATTGCAAGTGTAAACTGTTGCTTTACCCGGGGTTTAAAACAGCAATAACCCAGGGTTAATAACAGTGTGAAAAGCCCTAATATATATATATATATATATATATATATATATATATATATATATATATATATATATTACATATATGCTCTTCAGGTGATTCTTCAATATTTTATATCTCATAAAAGGTCTATTTATTAACATTAATAAATAAGACGGCGAGCACACACAACCTGAGACACCAAGCACACAACACCTGAGACACCAAGCACACAAAACCTGAGACACCAAGCACACAAAACCTGAGACACCAAGCACAAAACCTGAGTAAAAATTGTACTTTCACTCACCAAAAGTACTTCTTTCGCCGTTTTTAACATTTAACATCAGATCAGTCATATTTAAAATGAGAGAAAATTAAACAAACCGTTGATCATTGCCGCTTCGCGGGCTTCATGCGGCGCATGTAAACTGCGCATGCTCCTTGACCTTGCGCTCAAACCACGCCCGCTTGATGTCGTCAGACCTGAAACACCCAGTATTTAGTCTGTGCTTTCGTTGGGACGCGGTGTTTGAAAACTGTTGCTTTACCCGGGGTTTAAAACAGCAATAACCCAGGGTTAATAACAGTGTGAAAAGCCCTAACAATGTTATTATTAATTTCAACTTGATTTCATAGTTTTCTGGGCTCACCTAGAGTAGTTTTGGTCTGGTCTGCCATAATGCACAAAGAAGTCCTAAACAATAGAAAGAATAATTTTCATATTAATAACTCAACAATGTGAAAAAAGATGTCACAGCACACCCTGTACATATCATATATATATATATATATATATATATATATATATATATATATATATATATATATATTACATATATGCTCTTCAGGTGATTCTTCAATATTTTATATCTCATAAAAGGTCTATTTATTAACATTAATAAATAAGACGGCGAGCACACACAACCTGAGACACCAAGCACACAACACCTGAGACACCAAGCACACAAAACCTGAGACACCAAGCACAAAACCTGAGTAAAAATTGTACTTTCACTCACCAAAAGTACTTCTTTCGCCGTTTTTAACATTTAACATCAGATCAGTCATATTTAAAATGAGAGAAAATTAAACAAACCGTTGATCATTGCCGCTTCGCGGGCTTCATGCGGCGCATGTAAACTGCGCATGCTCCTTGACCTTGCGCTCAAACCACGCCCGCTTGATGTCGTCAGACCTGAAACACCCAGTATTTAGTCTGTGCTTTCGTTGGGACGCGGTGTTTGAATTGGGACAACCTTCGTCGCACTGTCGTGACGTAATCGGCCTTCAAATGGGTCCTTCCAAGGACGTAGCCTATGAATTGGGACACAGCGACGGTGTACTAAAACTTTAGAAAAAAAAATACTCTAAAGGAATCTGTTCTCTTGCATAGCATGGCGGGATTGTACTGGTTCCCCAAAGCGTCTTAAACACACGCAGTATGAGTGAAGTATCGATAGGGAACGTACTCTGTCGCTAACCATACTCGCCGGTTACTAACGTAACCTCGGTTCCCTGAGATACGGAAGGAGTACTGCGTACTTTGCCATGCTATTTAGCTGCACGAGTAAATCAATAATAATAATACACAGCATACAAATATTTTGAAAACACTTTATTTCTATTACATTTAAAGTTGCAAAAACCTCTATTAAATTAAATAACCGGTTAAAATCGTCTTATTAATCACTTCCTTATCACATTAGGTTGCTTGCAATTGTTTTAGTTTACAAGATAAATATAAATTCACAAATAAACAAACAAACAGAACAAAGCTAGTACAGACAGTGTAATTACAACTGAAACAGGCTTGGGATATGCAATGTTCAAAATGTAAAATAATCTAAACCATGTATCAACTGCTTGTAAAAAAGACGGTCTTGCTTCAGTGCCATTTCTCCCACAATGAAGAAGGATGGATTTTATCCCAAAACTGCAGGACATGAGGGTATCGCCTTTGTTGCGCCTCCTCCTCCAGATACAGAATGAAAAAATGGCTAATATGCATACATACATTGGATGAAATATTACCCAAAAATGCATTGTCATAAAAGATGCACTTACTCACTTTGTATGGCAATGGAGGAGGATGTCAGGGTTTTAAAGAGGTCATATGATGCGATTTCAATTTTTCCTTTCTCTTTGGAGTGTTACAAGCTCTTGGTGCATAAAGAAGATCTGTAAAGTTGCAAAGACTAAAGTCTCAAATCCAAAGAGATATTCTTTATAAAAGTTAAGAGTCAACCACACCTACCTAAAACGGCTCGTTCTAACACGCCCCCACATATCTACGTCACTATGTGGGAAGATTTGCATAACACCGCCCAAATGTTCACGCAAAGAAAGGCGGCGTAACTTTTATTCTCGCTGTAGTATTGTTGCTGCCGCCATGTCGTGAAGACGCTGTGTGCTGCGTTGTGAAAGCAAAACTACTTTGTTTGGTCTTCCAAAAGAGGACGATATCCGCATTGTCATGCCTAGAGCTGATCTGTGCTGGTCGCTGAGGGAATACATCAACTTAGTGCTGCTCAGCTCACACTTGCCCGCCGCCTCAGCTCACACTAGCCCGCTGTTCTGGCTTACAGTCTGTAAGTAAGTTTTCATTTAAAGGATTTGCCACTGATGATTCAAACGCGAATTTTGAGCAGTGTAGAGTAACATTAGTGCTTGTTTGTCATTTCTGATCACAAATGCAGACATGATTTTGTTTACGTGGCGCGATGCAACGCAACACGTAAAAAGACAGTATAAATCATTATAATCCGTAATTATGTCCCCACTGGATGCAACAAATGCCTAGTTTATAATGGGTTTTAATGTTTCTTTAATGCAACTTTAATGCAATCTCCAAAGACCATCTTAAATAGAAAGAACAATGGATTAATCACTGAACAAGAATTGAGGGGAAAAAATTGAAAAAAATCAAAATTTTTCTAAGCCATGGTAGCAGTCTTTCATTTAACTTCTTACTGTTGTAATAATGGATTAATGTCTGTTATATTAGCCGAGTGTTACAAGAGTGGTGTTTGTATCATTATAGACCGGTGTGGGGATTTTTGAGCTCTTTCTGCATGTTACATTGTTATGCTAGTGGGTGGAAATGTCAGTGTATCAATGACATATAGAATGAAATTTAAGTTATGTAAAAACTATATATATCACTCTCGTAATCATACTGTTAGACTCTAGATCAATATAGATCAGGTATGAGACCACAGAAAACCACAGCCTGCTGATATAGAGTCAAAATTCACATTACAAAGATGGCACAGAAGCACTTCTGAAAGTAGCTTTTATGTGTCTTTACATACTGTTTAATGCTGCAATGCTATACAGAGTATTTTGAGCAGGCACAAGCAGCCTTAACTCAGCTATTTAAAGACACCTTCACAGTACTCTTGCTTGTGTGATTTTTCCTCAAAGGGATAGTTCACCCAAAAATTAAACTTTTGTCATCATTTACTCACCCTCACGTTGCTCCAAACCGGCATAGTTTCTGTCTTCTGTTGAACACAAAAGTAGATTTTGAAGAATGTGTATTTATTCATACTATGAAAGTAAAATATCTTGTGTACAGCAGAAAAAAAAAACTCATGGAGATGTGGAATAACGAGTAATTAAATGATAAAAAAAATTGTTGGGTGAATTAACCCTTTAAGAGTCAGTTTTACTAACAGCTTGCGCCAGCGCAAACCATCTTTTGGTGTTAAAATTGTACTGTCAGTTTTTACTAAAAACGTGCAGTGATGAATTAAAGCTGAAAAGGCGTAGACAGTTATTTTTGCGCTACCACGGTCAGAGTAAATCCTAGTAAATACATCATCATTGACGCTATATCATTGATATCGCGATATGACACTTTTTT